GGAAGTAGAGACTTGCCAACATGGGCAATACATTCCCTAGCACCTCAGAAAAAGGCACCCTAAGGTCAGGCGTGGTGGTGCATGTCTTTAATCCCAGCACTTGGGAGGCAGAGACAAGTGGATCTCTATGAATTTGAGGCCAGCCTGGTCTATATAGAAAGTTCCAGGCCAGCCCTGTTTCAATAAAAATTTTTAAAAATTAAAAAGGACTGGAGAGATGGCTCAGTGATTAAGACTTGCTGCTCTTGCAGAGGCCCCAGCACCCATATTGTGACTCAACTGCCTGTAACTCTGGCTCCAGGGGATCTGATGCCCTCTTCCTTTGCAGGCATTTCACACATGTGGTATATATACATACATGCTGGCAAAACACTGACACAAAATTAAAATAAATCTTTAAAAAATAAAAAGCCCCCCAAATTGTGTTTTTACCTTCCTTGAGCATCTTTCTAGAGCCTAAAAGAACCCAGTACAGGGAATAGAGAGCAAGGTGGTAAAAAGTACGTTTGAGGATAAAACAGAGGTTGTCGGGGCTGGAGAGATGGCTCAGTGGTTAAGAACATTGACTGCTCTTGCAGAAGACCCAGGTTCGAATCCCAGCATCCACATGGAAGCTAACAACTGTCTGTAACTCCAGTTCCAGGGGATCCAACAGCCTCTTCTGTCCTCTGCGGGCACTGCATGACATGGGTGTACTTACCTACATGCAGGCAATACACGCGTACACATAAAATAAAAATAATAAATAAAAATATTAAAAAAAACCAAAAACGGCCGGGTGTGGTAGCGCATGACTTTGATCCCAGCACTCGGGAGGCAGAGGCAGATGGATCTCTGTGAGTTCAAGGCCAGCCTGGTCTACATAGTGAGTTCCAGGCCAGCTGGGGCTACAGGGAGACCCTGTCTCAAAAAGACCAAAAAAACAAAACAAACAAAAAAACAAAACAAAAACAGAGGTTGTCCTAAACTGCTGAATCCTTGAGTAAGTCCTTTCCTTTTCTGAGCCTCAGATACTTGGACCTGGCCACATGGGGTTGCTGTGAAGGTTAAACAAGGCTAACTACAGAAAGTGCTTGTTTTACTACCTGAGACACAGCAGTCCTGGAGATGGTCCTCCAGGTCAGGCACCATACATACACCTTTTGTGATGGCTGGTCTCAGCTGTCAACTTGACTGGATCACGAATTAACTAAAATGTGAGGAAGTTTCTTGGCCAGATTATTTGAAGTGGGAAGACTCACTCTAAATGTGGGCAGCACCTTCTGGTGGCAGCCCATGTAAAAGGACAGGGCAGATGGGAGCTCTTGCTTTTTGACTGTTTACCTTCTCTCTTACTGATGAGTTTATCTATCCAGTTGCTGTGGCATTCCTTCAATGTTGTTAGAACCAATTTCTTCCAGTTCTATGGTCTACTGATGACCAATAGCTCTCCAGGAATCCTCCAGCTCTCCAGGGCTTCAGTACCAGATTGGGACTGCTGAGACATCCAGCCTTGTGAACTGAGCAATTACCAGATTCTCAGCCTCTACAGTGTGAGACAGCTGTTGTTAGACTACCCAGTCTCTATCCTGTCAACCAATCCAATATATCCCCTTTAATTTTAATTCATTTTATCAGTTCTATTCCTTTAGAGAACCCTAACATACTTTATAGTCGCCTCCTGCACCCCATCTAACAGCAATTTTTAAAATTAATTTTTATTTGTATTTTTATGTGTATTAGTGTTTTGTCTGCATTTAAGTGTACCATGTGCATGCAGTGTCCAGAAGAGGGTGTCAAATCCCCTGGAACTGAAGTTACAGTCAGTTAGTCACCCTGTGGGTCCTAGGACTTGAACCTGGGTCCTCTTCAAGAGCAGCCAGTGTTCTTAACTTCTAAGGGAAGTCAGTCTCAGGACTTCTACCAGGCTTGGTGGCAAGCACCTTTATGTACTAAGCTATCTTGCTAGCCCCTAAACAAACCATTTTAGAAGCTGTCCCAACCACCTTTTAGGGAATGTTCCAGACTTCAGTGGATTGTATGTTTCCCAGTAGGTTTTGGATTTTTTGAGACAGGGTCTCCCTGTAGCCCCAGCTGTCCTGGAACTCACTAGGTAGACCAGGCTGGCCTCGAACTCACAGGCCTCTGCCTGCCCAGTGAGGGGACTAAAGGCTCCAAGTGGTTTTTTAAAAAGGCTTTGCTGGAGCTAACTCTTGGTTCTGTAGCTGACTGGAAAGGGCAAATTTCGAGTGGGAACCCCCAAGCCCAAAGGGAAGAACCCAAAGGAAGTTTCCCAAACCCCAATGACCTGCCCCCAGTGCACACACATCTGATCTTCTGGTCTGGTTTAGGACTGGTCTTTCCAGAACCACCATAATAGCTACCACCCTACTGATGAGTGGTCGATGATGCTTGGACTCAGGGTAAGGTGTGGGCTTAGCTGGGATTAGCCTCCACCCGCGCGTGAGTCATGCCTGCGCGTTTGTACCTCTCTAAACCCTGGGCCCTGCCAGCGGGGATCACGGCTGCGAATAGGCTGGACCACGACTCCCGCCCGCGCGCAGGCATCTCCCTGCCTCCAGGGCGGAGTCCCCTACGGCCTCCTGCCTTGCGCCCGGGGGACCCTGGTGACTGCAAACAGCCGCCGGCCTCATTAGGAGGCGTGTAATTAGCGGCTGGTGGAGCCCGAGTGTGGGGTCTAATTACCAGGGGAAAGTCTGAGCCAGCCCCTCGCGGGCGTCTGGACCGGGCCTGGTGGGGCCCCCTGAGCAGGGATCTGGTGTTTCCTCCCCGGGCTGTGCCTGGGCGGGAGGAGACATTCATTCAAAGCGGCTCTCTGAGCCAGGCTCCGTGCCAGTATAATCCCACTTACACTTCCATCCTAATAATTCCTTGTTGATCCTATTGCACAGATGGAAAGCTGGGTTCTAGAGACGGTATCCTCTCTGGCAGCATCTGGCTGGCACATGGAGATGGGTGATTCGAACCTGCGGACTCTCCTTTGGGTTGCACCAAGTGGACAGTTGAAATCGTGCACAGGAGGACCAGAATGTACAGGAGCAGGACCTCTGGAGACAGATGGTTTAGGGGTAGGATTCTGGGCCTCTTTTACTAGATACTGTGGTCGGGGAACCTCATCTGTAAGGTGGGCTCAGGGTTAGGATGGCATGAATGACACTGTCAGGAGTGCTGTTCTTAGGAAGGCAGGAGCTCTGGCCTGGGTTGAACGCTACGCACACTACAGGCCTCTACCACCCCCTGGCGGCAAACGGAGGACGCAGACAACCGGGTTTCTGGATAACTGTCAGTGGTCGCAGAGTGACTTCTTTCCCTCAGGTAACAAGACGCTTGAGAAGGGAAGATAGAGAACTCATTCTGGATCTTACAAACAATCAGCTGTGAAAGATGCCTTGCTTCATAGAACCACACGGGGGCCAGGCAAAGCCAAGACTACCGTATAAAAAGATGTGCATAGCCGGGCATGGTGGCGCACGCCTTTGATCCCGGCACTGGGAGGCAGAGGCAGGCAGATCTCTGTGAGTTCGAGGCCAGCCTGGTCTACGTAGCGAGTTCCAGGCCAGCTGGGGCTACAAGGAAAGCCTGTCTCAAAAAGACCCCTCCCCTCAAAAAAGATGGGCATAAAGGCCTAACTACGGGGAAATCGCTCAGCAGGTAAAAGTGCTTGCCACCAAGTCTGATGACCTGAGTTCTACGCCCAGGACACATGGTAGGAGAAAACCGATTCCCAAAAGTTGTCCTCTGACCTCTACACGAGAGCTGTGTTATGGATGCTCCTACATGCACACTCACACACACAACAAATAATGTAATAAAAATCGGGGACTGGCAAGATGGCTCACCAGATAAAGGTGCTTGCTGACAGGTTGGATGAACTGAATTTAATTCTTGTGATCTACATGATAGAAGGAGAGAAATGATTCCTGAAAGTTGTCCTCTGACCTCCACACATATAAATGTAATTTCAATTGTAATTGGAAAAATATTCTAAATCATCAAGACCTAGCTACAAGGCCAGGTAACAAAAAACTGGGTTTAATCAAACAGCTTATGTGTCATGAAGGGGGTGCTGACCAACTTAGTGATCCATCCAAACACTGCAATACTAAAAAGATAAGCAACTGACTTGAAAATAGAGTCCAGCAAAAGCCTTACAACTATCTTATTTTTAAAATGTAGTAAAATATTTACATAAAGAACAGGCAAAAATCTATCCTGACGGAAGTCAGGACAGCGGCCACTCAAGGTTAAGGGCTTTGGGAAGAAAACTTGGAAACTTCCAGAGTACTGAAACACTCTCCACATCTTAGGTAGTGGTCACACAAGCATCCGCATATGTAAAAATTCATTGAGTGCTGGGTGCACACACCCTTGGTTTCAGACAGGAGGCAGAGGCAGGCAGATCTCTGAGTTCAAGGCCAGCCTGGTCTACAAGGGGAGTTCCAGCCCAGCCAGGGCTACATCTTTTAAAAGCTAATTCAAATGAAGCAAGTATGATGGTGCACGCCTGTAATCCCAGCGCTGGGGAGGCTGAGGCAGGATTGCTGCCCGCTCCAGGCCAGCCCGAGTTACCGTGAGAGCGTTTCAAAAAACAATCACACACAGGGCTGGCGATGGCTCAGCGGTCAACAACTCTGTATGCGTGAGTGCACTTGCATACAAGCAGGCAAAACACTCATACACACAAAATAAAAATAAACAGAAAATTTCAAAAATATTTGGCTGTAAGGAGGCGGGGGAGGGGGAAAATAGCCTTAACCTTAAAGACCCGACAATCCTGCAATCCTGGACTTTGTTGTGCAGAACTGGTCTCCAAAGTCCCACCGTCCAAAGTGGGTAGAGAGTGCTAAGCGAACACCTAATTAGCGCACGGTCCAAGGACTAAGGACTGCAGAGCTGCGGCGGCGGGTTAAACTCCCTCAGGGCTACCTAACTTGCCCAGCAGACCCGCCCGGCAAGCGCCCCGCCCATGCCACCGGAACGCATGCGCAGATCCACACCGGGAAGCGGGGCGACGCACAAACCCTGCCTCCTGCCCATTGGCTGCGGGGCCAACCTCCGGTCCACAAAGCCTCCTCTAGCGCGGAGGCCGCCATGGTGCGCTTCAAGCACAGGCAAGCGGCCCCTTCCGGCCCCCACCTCCAGAACAGCGACCCCGCGCCCCCCGCCCCAGCTCATTGCCCTCCGTCCTCCGCAGGTACCTGCTCTGTGAATTGGTGTCCGACGACCCGCGCTGCCGCCTGAGCCTGGACGACCGCATGCTGGGCGGCCTGGTGCGGGATGCGATTGCCCGTGTGCATGGGACCTTCGGCGCCGCCGCCTGCTCGGTGGGGTTTGCAGGTGCGAGGGCGCCTTGGGACCCGCGGAGGGCAGGGTTGGGCGGGGGCGGGGGGGCCCAGGCCGGTGTTTGTATGATAGGGCGGATATTAGAAAAGCACCCGAAACCGAGGTCAAGTCTAAAATGAGCAGAAACTGAAGGAGCCCCAAAGTAAAAAGAGGGCTAGCAATGTAGCTCAGTGGTGGAGCACTGTCAGGTGAGCACAAGGCCTAGGTTGAGCACCCAGCTCCAGGAAGAAATTAACATCCATATTATTGGCAAGTTTGAATTTAATAGGATAATTGAGGGAGGAAAGCCATGTAAAATTCCAAGTGAGCTACATTTGACGGTCTCCTTATCTCACTGCAAAGTATCAAATTTATCCCTTGAAAACCAGCCTTGCAGAGGAATTGGTATATAGAAACATGGGATGAACTCAGAAGCCATTTTCCTCTCAATACCACCTTTTTTTGTTTTACCATAGGCTCAAACTTGAATCCTGAAGAATTAAACACATAAACAAAGCTCTTTGAGTGTGAGCGAGCCAACTACCAAGAACCTACAAACCATTTGTAGTAAAACCATTTTTTCAGTCAAGGATTTTTTTTCTTTCCCCTGCTGAGTTTAGCTGGAGGCTCCTTTATCTCCTCATTTACTGGAGTAAATAGTCAGTGACTAGGAGAATATTTTTAATTCTAAATTCACTGGGTTGAGTGGTGTATGAGATACTGTCCCTTTAGCCAGGTGTGGTGAAGCATGCCTTTAACCTCAGCACTTGGGAGGCAGAGGGAGGTAGATCTCTCTGACATAGAGGCCAGCTTGGTCTACATAGCTAGTTCCAAGCCAGCTAGGGTGAGATCCTGTCTCAAAAAATAAAAAACATACTAGCCCCCCTCCCCCCCTTTTGAGACATGGTCTCCCTGTAGTCCCAGCTGGCCTAGAACTATGTAGACCAGGCTGGCCTTATCAGAGATCCACCTGCCTCTGCCTCCTGAGTTTGGGATTAAAGGCGTGCCCCACGTCAGGCAATAATGACCCTTGACATAAAGGTTTATCCTAAAGTTTAATTCCTTACAGGACTCTTTAGTCAGTGAGGCATCTTCCCACTTGCCCAGCCCAGTCTTGCACATAGTACACTTTTTTCCGTTTCTTTTTCCTTCCTGCCATAGTTCGCTACCTCAATGCCTATACTGGAATAGTGCTACTTAGATGCCGAAAGGACTTCTACCAGCTTGTGTGGTCAGCTCTGCCTTTCATCACGTATTTGGAGAACAAAGGACACCGTTATCCTTGTTTTTTCAACACATTACACGTGGGAGGTAGGAATGGTACCAGGTGGTATGGGGACTGGTTTCTGTGACGGTCCAGAACTCAATCCTGATGGGTGGGTGGGTTTTCCTCCTATCCCACTGAGAACAAGCTCCACCACCCTCAGCTCTGAAATGAACTTTTCACAAGGTATTGACCACAAAAGCTTCATGTGCCAGGTACAATTAGAACCTGTCAGAAGTTCCTGATTCAGTACAACAGGAGACAGCTGCTCATCTTGTTGCAGAACTGCACTGATGAAGGTAAGCAATTCGAGGCTGGAGAGCAAGCAGTGGTTATGGCTCAGTGAAGTAAGAGACCACTCAGGACATCTTTCTCTCCTGCTGTATGCCTTCTTCCAGGAGAGCGAGAGGCTATCAAGAAGTCTGTCTGTAGAAGCTGTTTGTTGGAGGAAGAGTCTGCTGAGGAGGAACTTTCAGACAGTGCTGGTGAGGAGTTTGCTGAAGCAGTGAACTGCTAGCCACAGAGCAGGCCACCCTGTGCCCTGGCCCACTTGTAGGAACAGGACGTTGCAAGAAGTGGCCACAGTATCTTCCACAGCTCTCCAGACTGAGTAACCATGCAGAGGCCAGGTGACCAGCTTGAAATGAAGGATTTGCTTAAAACAGGTGAAGCTGCCCTTACCTGCTGCCCTGGTGAAGTGGCTCTGCAGCTTGTGAAGGCTCTGTCCAGATTTGTGTCTAATTGCTTAGCTAAGAAGGTTGAATAAATATATTTGGCTTCCATAAGCAATTTAACATACCCAAATCACCAAAGGGCTTAGGGGTTCATGCTTGGCTAATTCTCCCCCTCTACAGTGCTGGCCTCGATGAGAAGACTGGCTCCCTGTGTGGTACTAGAGGTACTACTCCACCTTTCACCCAAGTTCCTGTACCCCCCAGCTGCCAAGGCTGACTTCTAAGTGTAAGTCGCACAGAAGTACTAGTGAGCGGACAGCCAACTAAACTTGCATAAATATAGAGCAGATCTCAGTACTGCTGCAGAGTACTGCAAGTACCAGATTCCCTAGCTGAGGCTTAGGTGTCTTGACAAGAACTGCAGCTTTCAGTTGGTCCACTGTGTACACATGTGATCCTCAGCACTTGGGAGGCTGGGGCAGGAGGGTAGAGCTCCAGACCAGCCTGGGCTACATAGCAAGATACATTCTGAAAAAAACAATGCAGCTTTTGTAAGGGAGGTAGGGGTGATGTTACTTGGCCACACAGCTCTGAACTGCTACCCACTTCAGCTAACTTTCTGCAGTTCCCCTCTGCCTGTGGCCTACCCTGAAGCCAAGTGACATCCCCACACTCACAGGAATTAAGAGGGACAAGATGCTTATGATCAGGATTGGTCTGCTACCTCTTTTTTTTGTCACAGGATCTTCCTGTACCTGACTGGCCTGGAACTATGTCGACCAGGCTAGCCTTGATCTCAGAGATTCACCTGCCTGAGTGATAGGATTAAAGGCATGTACCACTATGCCTGGCTTCTAATGACATTAAAAAAAATATTTTATGTGTATAGGCGAACCCATATGTGCAATGCCCATGGAGGCCAGAAGAGGGTGTTGGATCCCCTAGAAATGGAGTTAAGTATGGTTGTGAGCCACCATGTGGGTGCTGGTCTTCTGCAAGAGCAGACAGTGCTCTGAGCTGCTGAGCCATCATCTCTCCAGCCCCCCTAATGACATTTTTAGAATCTGTTTATTAATGGAAGGTGGCAACTCCAAAGTCCTTTATATGTGTTCCATAGACATTTATGTCTTTTGTTGCAATATGCCCCTATCTTAGTACTGGAATGCCCTCCATTTACCCAACAGAGTAAGAGAGTTCCTGACTCAGGATTTCCCCAGAATGGCAGGTTAAAGCTAAGTCCAGGTTTATGCCAGACAGCAGAGATGTCAGTCCATGATAGAACTGCTCAAGTCCATGGTAGCTAGGACATTAACCTAAGTCTGAGTAGCTGGCCTGAATGAACTTAACCAGAGAACTCATTTTGTGTGTAGCTGATTTATTGCAACAATCTGCTTTCATATTCTTTTACACCTAGAGGTCATTTTATTAAGCAGAAAAACAACTCGGCACTGATTCAGCTGAAGCCAACACATGAGCAAGCTGCTCTAGACAGAAGGAAGCAGCGGCAGCACTACCATCACCAGCAGCCCACCCTCACGTGTGCTACACACTCCTCTTTTACAGGGCAGGCCACCGACACTTAAAAGCTTGATCAGAGTGGTGGCAGGGCCCAAAGCTTTCTTAATGAAGGTTACAGCTTCTCCTAAAGACCTGACAAGTAGAACCCTCCCTCATATATGCAAATGCCAAGGACAGCTTAGCCTGGCCAACTGCCAGAAGAAAAACTTTAAAAGTTTTTAAATTTGCTTTTATACCCAGGCTGGCCATAACAGTGAACTCAACAGTGATCTGCCACACCCAGTCGGTAAATTTCTACTTAAGCCATTTCTTTGACAAGGAGACTTGAATAGGGAAGATTCAACTTTTTTTAATGTGTTTTTGAGAAACAGCTGTTAAGAGTTGTGCTCACAGGCCATAACCGGACACAGGACACTGGGTGGAAGGAACATGGCTGTGCCACTGGTTTGGGCTGCTCCAAAGGACTTGAGAGGATTAGGCAAACTCACTGTGGGTTGTGAAAATTAGTAATATGAATCAAAGAGACTAATCTGGCAAATGAACTATACCTTGGCAGGAAGAGATCTCTTGTGAGTGTCAATACTTTATTTTGGTGTAAAGACCGGAAGCTGGAAAATACACTGTATTTAAAATTTTCTTGGTTCCCCCTTCACATTGTGGAACCCCACCCCCACCCCAAGCTAATCAATCTGTTCAAAATTATAGCAGCAAAACAAAAGCACAGAAAAGAAAACCAGATGGAGAAGGTGGCCTGGGCGAGTAGTGTCACTTGGTGTGGACGACTGAGGTACTGAACAGGAGCTTCTGTTTCTGTTTTTTCCTTTTCTTTCCTCCTCTCTCTTCTAAAGGAAAATAGAGAGCTCAGTTTGCAGTGCCATTCCCTTGTCTCCTAGCCTCCTCACTGTCAAAGTGTAAATTGGACTGCCTGGATGCAAATATAAGACCTACATACAAGACCTAGACTTACATCTCAGTCTTTGTTCTGTGACTTGAGTTATGCTAGGGATGGGTGGGTGGATGGATGCAAATAGCAGGCATGTACATAAATGTGTCAGTCTTCTGAGCACTGGAATCAGGGTGGGCACTGAGGCTAACCAGGAGCCACCTACCAACTCAAGATTCTGAAGGGTAGGAAGGATCCACTTTACTGTGTCTTGGAAGAAAAAATCAGAGTTCCTCAGAATTTCACTTTTGGGCCTTAAGAATTAACTAGGTGAAAAAGGAAGTCCCACCTGACATTTGTGGACACTTAAATATCTTGAAGGCAAGAGACCTAGAGGCTCAAGAGACTGACCCATCAGTACTATCTGCCACTGATGCAGGTGGGAAGGGCACCGCTCGTGTGCTGAGTCTGAACCCCTATGCTGAGCACTCCAGTTCCTTGTCCTTACCAGAGAGGGAATCTGAAGTAGCTGGTGTGTCCAATTTCATGAAGGCTGCTTCAATAGCTTGGCTGAAGGAATTCTGGAAACTGGGCACAGGAACACGGTCTGAGTTATCACTCTCCCCATCGCTGTCCACAGGAGCAGGAGGAACTAAGCTGTTCTCATCTGAAAAACAAAAGTGTGCCAGGCGTGGTAGCACATGCCTTTAATCCCAGCACGCCACTTTAGAGGTACAGGCAGGCGGATCTCTGTGAGATCAAGGCCAGCCTGTCTACATAGTTCCAGGCCAGGCCAGCTGGTGCTACAGGGAGACCCTGTCTCAAAAAACAAAACAAGACAAAAAAAACCCATGAGTGTTAAAATTCTAGAAATTCTAGGGGCTTTTATTGAAAGGGCCAGGCCAAACTTACTCTTTACCACCCGGCCCTCCTCACCTTTCTTTGGAGCAGTTTTAGGCCACACATCTGCCTTTGCTTTTCCAACCCTCAGCATCTGCCAGAGAAAGAATTTAAGTATCAGATCAAATGTCTTTTCCAGGTGCCTACCTTGACGCTAACTTTTGACAAGACTGTCAGACACTCCCCCTAGTTTCAGTCATCTTTTCTGTTAACCAGTGCAACAACAGTGCACCCCAGAGCAGAAAAGCCCCAAAGGGTTTCATTCCTTAGGAATTAGGTAAAGAACACTTGGTTGCATAAGGCAGCAGGATCACCTACAAGTTCAAAGCCAGCCAGGGCTACATAGTGAGTTCTAGTCTAGCCTGAGCTATACAGTAAGACTTCATCACATGAAACAAAAATACCTTTGAATTTAAAAACAAACTGTATGGCTAAGCTTTAGTTATTTAATGCTGTGAAAGCTGAAATAGCCCAATAGCACTTTTCGACCTTTTGCCTACTTTGCCAACCTCTTCCTCATTCTCTTCTGGATACAGCCAGAGGCCAGTACATTTCTGTTAATTACAGTCAATCAGAACAATCTTTGCCCTTGTGGACCTGTTCATTTCACCTGGCCAATGTCAGCTCTCTATGTAATTTATAATGGTATTTTCTCTGTGTTGGTTTTTATTGTAGCCCAGGCTGAACTTGAACTGGTGATCCTCCTGACTCAGTCTCCCAAATGTAGAGACTATAGACATGAACCACCTCACTGGGTTCAGGATCTGCTCTGTTCCTACAAAAATATGGAGACAACCCCCCTGGAACCTCTCATGGGTTTCAAGCAGGGACTATTCAAGATGAGTTCAATTGACAAATGTCAGTTTTGAGTAACTTTTGTTTTGGATAGGGGGTAACACTTTTGAGAGAGGTTGGTCATCAACTCCCTATTCTGCCTCTACCTCCTAAACGCTGGTATTTCAAAGATGAGCTTAAATAACCTTTTACTATGTTTTACTTTGGTGACTTCCGAGATTCCTATGATTTTTAAGTCTAAAATACTTTATAACATCTGCATCCACTTCAAAAAATAGTGCTAAGGATCCGAATTCTTATTCTTGAAATACAATTAAAATTCATTGGGGCTGGAGAGATGACTCAATGGTTAAGAACACTGTTCTTGCAGAAGACCCTGGTTTGAATCCCAGCACCCACATGGCAGCTAACAACTGTCCATAACTCCAGTCCCAGGGGATTCGACAGCCTCTTCTGACCTCCACCGGCATTGCACAACACGGGTGCACTTACCTACAGGAAAGCAATACATGCATATACATAAAATTAAAAAAAAAAAAAATTCATCATGGGACCTGGTGTGGTGATGCACATCTTTAATCCCAGCACTTGGGAGGCAGAGGCAGGTGGATCTCTGTGAGTTCAAGGCCAGCCTGGTCTACATAGTGAGTTCCAGGCCAGCTGGGGCTACTGGGAGACCCTGTCTCAAAAAAGACCAAAAGAAAAAAAAAAAACCCAACAACAACGAAAAAAACATTTTAGGTATTTAACTGCAAACTAAACAATCTACTAATGAGGAAACAATCAGACAAATACCATGGGCCAATGGTGGTACCTGACAACCTCAGTTCTCTGAATGCCGGTATGCTAAGTGTTTGATGTTTTAGAGACTAATAAAGGGATTGACATAAAGTCTGTATCTAGCTTATTGTTTTTCCCTTCTCAGAGAGGAATGGGGGCTCAGCAGTTAAAAGCCTGGCTGCTTTTGCAGAGGACCTGGGTTCAGTTCTCAGCACCCACACTGCAACTAACAACTTTCTGTAACTTCAGTTCCAGGTGATCCAAAGCCCACTTCTGGCCTCTATAGCACGGCACACCTAGGAGTACTTGATACATGCAAACAAAACTCTCATACGCAAAATTAAAATAGAAAAAATTTCAAAATTAAAAAATAATGGGACAGGCATGGTGGTGCATGCCTTTAATCCCAGTACATGGAAGGCAGAAGAAGGCAGATCTCTGTGATTTTGAGGCCAGCCTGGTCTACAAAGCAAGTTCCAAGCCAGCCATGGCTACATGGTGAGACCGTCTCAAAAAAAAAAAAAAAAAAAAAAAAAAACGCAAAAAATAACAGCACTCTCGGGAGGAAGAGGCAGGTGGAACTCTGTGAATTCAAGGCCAGCCTGGTCTATACAGTAAGTTCCAGGCCAGCTGGGGCTACGGGGAGACCCTGTCTCAAAAACAAACAACAACAAAAAAACAGTAAAGAGGAATGATTTACATTCAATCTATAAATACTACATCGGAGGTCCTAGAATCAAGGACCAGTTGAAATGAACTCATGTAGCCTCTCAGCTACAATAGTGTCTGCTTCATAAGAATCTAATGATCTTCTTAAATAATTAAAACTTGGAGTCTCCCTCAATTATTCCTGGACCCCTTTCCTGGATAAATCTTCAGAAATACCTGACTAAACCCATGAACTTTCCTCTTAAGAATGTTTCCCAGCATTACATATTTGATATACAATACAACATTGCCTCTTAAGTTTCTTTGTCACATCAT